GAAAACTTGAGAAATAGCATAGAACTCAAATAGGAGTACAACCGTGCAGTCAAATGATCACAATTAAAAAGAAATCCCGCAAACAACCCCAAGGGGGATTTAACAACTAGTCCTCCTCTACAGCCACATTGGCTAAGCACCTACTAGAAGAACAAGCAACCACATCAAACACAAAAACACAAACTGAAAAGGACTTGTGTAAAAGAACAATATGCTCCAACACAATTGAGTTAAGCCTCTTATCAAATCTTCCTTTGTTCAGCACAGTCCCCATCTTCTGATCTTCCAGGCAGCAATGAAGATAATTGATCTTCCTCTCCTTAGCTTTCTGAAGAGCCCAGCAAATAGCAAGCAACAAGGCTTCCTTCGAAGTGCCATCAAATTCTTTACTCTTTGTCTAGTTCAGCTTGGTCTCTCCCCAGATCTTCATAGTGCCTCCCAAGCCTAGTCTTTCTCTTCCTGAAGAATGAGCACTAATGTAGTGTCCCGTTCGATTTATAGAATTTCTCGGATTATTCTATTTATCGGCATTTTATTTTATTTCCTATACCTTATTTATTTTAATGCTTGCTCTTTATTTATAATATCATCGTGCTTGAAATATATAATTATTAGGCGTGTCGATTTTATTTTATTAATCGTTCGTTGTGTCGTTCGGAGAATTTCGGTTTAATCGCGTAGTTATTATTTCGAGCCGTTCTCGTTAATTTCTTAACCATATTAAACCGGGCTCGGAAGCCTTATCTCTCGGCCCATTGTGTGGCCTTTTCGGCCCTTAAGACCCAACAAACCGGCCCTAATTGTTTACCAAAAACCGACCCCAACCCATTAGACTAGCACACCATTTTTACTTGAAATTCAAATGAAAGAGGACACATTTATGGTAGCCTTGACCAGATCTCTCCCCACCCTTAGTACACGGCTATCAAGCCCTTTTGAGCCCCTTTTATGCTCATTTTATGATAAGTTATAGGGAGATTTTTATTTATGCTATGTGATTTTAAATTAATTGCAACTTTACCATAGAAGTTGAAATAATTATGTTTATACCTAAAAGACCTTATTTATCTATATTAATGCCTAAAGTCAGTTACCATATCCTTCCCACCTCCATCCCCCTTTTTATGGGCATGATTAAGAGAGAGAAAATAACTGACTCGTTTAATTCCTTAATTCGCGCAACTTGAATTCCTTAATTCACGCAAGGACTGCTAGACGCGTGCAATCTCTTCCGCTGGTTGCGAGACACGAAAATCGCGGGTCGGCGATGGTGCACGGGACGGGGACGACGTGCACGGCGGGTTGTCGCTGGGAGCGTGCGCGGCGACTGGCGATGCGCGGCTGCTGGCGCTGGTTGCTGGTGGCTTCCGGCGACTTCGTGCGGCGGCGGTGAGCGGCGGTTACTAACCGGAATATTAGAGGATCTAAGGATTGATCTATCTAACCTTAAGATATTCTAATGTATGATCCAAACACCTACTACGAAAAATCTTGGTGGGCGATTTTTCGGATCTCTCGAACTCTCAATATCTAAACACACAAAACTCCTTCTTCCCTTAAGAATCCTTAGTATTAGGTAGGTGGAATAGAGTAGCGGGAGAGTTCAAGACATGGTGTATTCATAGACTGCATTAGGGACCTTAAGGAGGTGCTAAATATGAGCTTATCCCATTAAGCTAAGAAATCATAATTTTATTCCATATACTTTTCAAAGGATAGAATTCCTCCTACTACTTATTACCTTCTAGAAGACTCTTTTAATCTCCTAACCGTAGGTAATATTCTAGAAGGAATATTCCTCTCCTAATGGAATATTAATTATTGAATAAAATTAATTTCTTAATCTAAATCTAATTAAATAATAAAACATTTCCACTAGAGTAATATTATTACTCTCCCCATTTAGCTCCAATTTATTCAATAAATCAAGCCTCCAAATGATTAATAAATATTAATCTAATTGACCGATCAACTTCCCATGTTTAAGATATAACATCCGTCAATTAATTTAATTACTGACAATTAAATTAAATTGACTTCTTCATTTCCGAAAGTAGTTCACTCAGTTCATTAATCATTATGCCGGATAATTATCCACCTGCAGGGTTTGACATAATATTCCTTCCTGAGCTCATTTCGGAGACGCCATCAACCCAGCACACTATCACAGTGACTACAAATAATTTATAATGGCACATCATATAAACACTCTTACTTACCAAAATAGTGAGTATGTCATCCTAACGGAACAGGAATCACCCTTGTTAAATCAAATAAATAAATAATGAATATATATGTCCATTTTATATTATCTTACAGCTTAAGAGAATGCATCAGTCACTAAAGGTCTAGATTAGAATAACAATCAGTAAATCTTATAATCTTATCCTTCCGCGGTCCGTTCAATACTTATCATAAGTGCTAGTGTAATCCATCAGTCAAAGCTCAACTGAGTCAAGACTACACTACAGTTTATAACCAATAGGGGTCTCACTGCCTGTCTAAACTGTGAACAATAAATTTATATTTTAGAATGAACCGATAATATGATCTTTCTGTTCGACACGACGAACCATATTATCTACAATGTAAAATAATGAAGTTATGATTGCATAAATAAAAAAAATAAAATTGCAAACATAAATACTTTGACTAAAAGATGATTGCCAAATCAAAATTGTATTGTTTATATCTAAAAGCCAAGCTTTTACAACATATCTAACAATCTCCGAATAAGCTCATGGCTATCATTAACCACAATTCTCTTTCAATCTAATTCTCAAAGACTAGTCTACTATGTCGCCTATCGTCTGAGTCCCATCCTTTCTACGTGTCTCTCAATGACTTTTGCCAGTAGGCTCTTCGTAAAAGGATCTGCTAGGTTGTACTTCGACAATATCTTGGCAACACGACTTCCCATCATCCAACGATCTCTCGTATCAGGTGGTACTTGCGCTCTATGTGTTTACTCGCTTTATGAGTCCGTGGCTCCTTCGAATTTGCTATTGCTCCGCTGTTATCACAGAATACTGTAATTGCAGCGGGCAAACTCGACACCACATCAAGATGGAGGAGAAAATTTTGGAGCCAAACCGCTTCATTCGCTGCCTCTAAAGCTGCTACATATTCAGCTTTCATGGTGGAGTCTGCCACGCATTTCTGCTTGACACTCCTCCAAATAATGGCTCCTCCTCCTAAAGTAAACACAAACCCTGAGGTTGACTTGCTTTTGTCTCGGTCTGACTGGAAGTCAAAATCAGTGTAACCCAACGAAAGCAATTCATATGCCTGGTAAACCAACATGTACTCTTTAGTCATTCTCTGTTACTTAAGTATATGTTTTACCGCAGACCAATGTTCCGGACCTGGATTACTTTGATATCTGCAACCATGCATATGACATAACAGATATCTGGCCTTGTACACAACATCTCATACATAAGGCTTCCTATTGCTGATGCATAAGGAACTGCCTTCATGTCCTCTATCTCTTGAGGCGTCTTAGGAGACATCTTTTTAGATAAAGGGATTCCATGTCGAAAAGACAATTGCTCTTTCTTCAAATTCTGCATGTTGAAACCGGCCAAGACAGTTTCTATGTATGTTGATTGGGATAGGCACAAATTTGTCTTCTCTCGGTCTCCAATGACCTTGATTCCGAGAACATGTCCTACTTCTCCAAATCCTTCATCTCAAACTGTTTGGATAACCATACCTTTACGTCTAATAATTTCTTCACACTGTTTTCAATGAGAAAAATATTTCCGTCACTTTTCTTGTACACACAGTGTATTCTGGACATTGGGTAAATCCAAACGATTGGACAACCTCATCAAAACGAATGTTCCAGGACCTCGAAGCTTGCTTCAGTCCATAAATAGACCACTTCAGCTTACAGACCAGATGCTCTTGTATCTTTGCAATGAACCCTTCTGGTTGCTGCATATAGATGTCCTCGTCCAAATTCCCATTAAGGAAAGCGGTCTTAACATCCATTTGACAAATCTCATAATCCATATGAGCGGAAACAACCAAGATAATACTGATGGATTTAAGCATACTACCGGCGAAAAGGTTTCCTCATAATCGATCTCTTCTTTCTGAGTATACCCCTTCGCAACAAGCCTAGCTCTGAAGGTCTCAACCTTCTCATCTGATCCTCTTTCTCTTGTAAATCCACTTGCATTCAATGGCGCGAACACCACTGGGTGGTTCTACAAGTTCCCAGAGCTGATTAGGATCCATTGATTCCATCTCAAATTTCATCACACTTTGCCAAGACTCTGCATCCCCTTCTTGGAGTGCCTCATTGTATGTCCATGGGTCGGTTACTAGTGCATCCAGAATGGCCTTAGAAGACTCTCCCAGACCCAAAAACCATTCGGGCTGCCTGACAACCCTCCCACTACGACGAGGTACTACCTGCTCAGGTGCATCTTCAGTGACACGTGTTGCAGTACTTTATGGTGTAACATCAAGTGCACTCGGTATTGAAGTACTTTCTCCCTTTACCTCCTCAAGAATATGCTTACTACTTGGTTTTTGATCCATAACATTGTCTTCTTCCAAGAACCTCGCGTTCGTGCTAACGATCACTTTCTGGTCCTCAGGACTATAAAATAGACCACCTTTCGTTTCCTTTAGGATATCCCATAAACAGCTTCACTTCCAAACGTGGCTCCAACTTATCAGTGTCAGTTCTCATCACATGTGCTGGACTACCCATATATAGAGATGTCTTAGACTAGGCTTACGCCCAGTCCACAACTCCATAGGTGTGAGTGGCACTGATTTAGAAGGTACCAAGTTAAGAACATGAACTGCTGTTTGTAGGGCATATCCCCAAAACAAATCTGTTAATGTACTATAACTTATCATTGCCCTAACCATCTCCATAAGAGTCCTATTTCTTCATTCTGCTACACCGTTCTGCTGGGGAGTGCTAGGTGTAGTCAGTTAGGATGTAATACCATTATCTGTTAAATAGTTCCTAAATTCAGTTGAGAGATATTCGCCACCATGATCGGATCGTAACGACTTGATACTTTTTCCTAACTCCTTCTCCACAACTGCCTTATACTCCAAGAACTTCTCAAAGCATTCAGACTTGTAGCGCAGCAGATAAATTTATCCATATTTCGAGTAATCATCGATAAACGTAACGAAGTACTTGAAACCACTCTCGCTTGAACAGACATAGGACCACATAAATCGGAATGAACTAGTCCTAACAAATCTTCGGCTCTATTCCCCTTTGCCTTAAAAACCCTCTTAGTCATTTTGCCTTCCAGGCAGGACTCGCAAGTTGGAAATGCCTTGACTTCCAGCGACCCCAAGGGCCCGTGTGCCACCAAGCTTTGAATCCTCCTAAGGTTTATATGACCATGTCTTAGATGCCAAAGATATGTTTCGTTCATTTTTGAAAATTCCTTTCTCTTATTCAGATTAGATGATGAATTAATTAATTGTTTATATTGCAGTGGACTAGACTTTGGTTTTAGGATATACAAATTTTCTACTAATGGACCATCACATATGAACTTTTTGCCAAAAAGAATAACAACTTTATTATCGTAAATAGCAGAAAAACTGTTCATAAACAACTTAGAAATTGAAATTAAATTCTTTCTAAAGCTAGGAACATAAAGACAATCTTGCAAAATCAAAATCCTATCTAAACCAAAATCTAAGTAGACATCTCCCACTGCAGGGGCTGACGTTTTACTAGCATCGCCCAAGTAGATGGTAACTTCTCCTTCCCTAAGCCGCTTGGTTTCCTGGACCCTTGCAAATTATTGCAGACATGATCAGTGGCTCTTGTATCTACACACCAGGTACTAGTAGAGAACACCGCTAAACATGTTTCAGCGAATAATGAAAAAGATTTACCTTTATCGCCCTTCTTGAGGAGAGGGCAGTCAGCCTTCCAGTGTCCTCGCTGCTAGCATCTGTGGCATTTGCCTTTCGGCTTCTTTGTTCCCTTCTGAGTCTGCACTTCATTCATGACGGCTTTGCCATTTCCTGCGGACTTCTTCCTTTTCTTACCCTTACCAGGCCTAGAAGAAGATCCCTCCCCTCGCTGGGCCACCATAGCTTGAGGCTTCTGACTAAATAGGCCATCTACTGACTGAAGTTCTGCTAGAAGTCCCGGAAGAGTCAACATCATCTTGTTCATGTTGTGGTTCAATCGGAACTGCTCAAAACTCTTCGGCAAAGATTGGAGGACTATATCGACCTACGTTTCTGCATCAATAAAACCCCCAAGAACCTTCAGCTCATTCAGCTGGGCCATCATCGCAAGAACATGTTCCCTTACGGGAGTGCCCTTGCGCATGGTCATAGTCATCAAAGTCTTCATGGCGTCTTGTCGGGCAGCCTGAGACTGATGGCCAAACAGTTGCTTGAGATTGTTGAGCATCTCTGCTGCAGTGTTCATAGATTGATGCTGATGTTGAAGTACATTTGACAAGGATGCCAAAATGTAACACCTCGCCATCTCATCAGCCTTTTTTCCACTTAGCATACTCATCTTTCTTTTGATCTGTTGAGCCCTCTTCCGGCTCCTCCGGACAATACTCAGTAGTAACAAACTTATACCCCTCAGCAGTTAACACTATATCCAAGTTCCTTTTCTAGTCATTATAATTGGGACCAACAAGTTTGTTTTCTTTGAGAATTACGGACAACGGATTGAAAGACATTTTGAATTCCTGGGATCATGCAAACATAGTTTTACTCAGTCAAGTGTTTCAAATTTAACTACCAAATATTTCCCCCTTCAAAACAATATTTAAATAAATTCACCGACACCTCAAAACACCGAATCCCTGTAGGCCACAGTGGTGCGGACGTCTACGATTTATACCGTCGCAAGAGGAGAGTTTAAACTCATTAACTAACATGCTAGCCCAACAACAATTAATTAATAGTCAGTCCAGTTTTGGCCAGTACTTAGATAGCAACTTACTTCGGTGGTGGAGATTCATCACTAAATGTACTTTAAGTGTTTCCCATTAATTGGTACCAATTCCACTACCAAAATTATACGTCCGTCGATGGACGGCATGTACGCTTTTGAAATAGCTTCCTATTACCATCCCGAAGGAGATCTATCCTTATGAACTGTAATTAAAAGTGTCCGGTATTGGAGGAAGGCCCTAATGCCAACGCGCATCATTTAACCACTTCATTGATAGACCTATAATGGAGGCCTCAGATACAAATTATTTCAATCCATTCACACTTAATATAATTTTATTTAAGGGATTTTCCTAAACATGCTCTTAATGGTTCAATTTGCACATAAGCAATTAAATCACATAAGGACATGCATGATTAAATGGCAATAATAAACAAGGAATAAATAAATAATCCAACTATCATGGGCATTCAATCAATCTCCAAACTTTCGGAGAAACGCAATCCCTGTCCTTACTGCGTCTTCCTTTTCGGGAGTTGGATATCCTCTTTTCTCGGTGACTCCCACTATTTTTCTTGAACGGGTCGTCTCCGGGTTTTCCGCCATTGGATCGCCATCGTCGGCTTTTGTTCGCGTGTTTCTCACCTTGTCGAGGTTGGTCCACGTTTGTCGGATCAATAATGAATAGTATAAACAATTACATAATTCATCCAATGACCCATGTGGGAGTCGTACATGAGTTTTTTATGAAAGCAATAAACTATGCGGTGTCCCACCGCGAGAATAATTTATTACAAGCATTCACCAACCCAAAAACTCCTCGACATATCTGAGGCTTATAAAACAACATACATGAATTAAAACCATACATACGAGCCATAATAGTCGGATTCGAAATCATCTGCAAACAACCTTTTGCAATTTCTAATCTACTATGCGCTGCGTTCGTACCCAATTAATTCACATAAACAGGTAAGTCCTAACTCAAACTATGCATGAAGTTGAATTAAACCTGGGCTCTGATACCAATTGTTGAGTTCTATTGGGAACGACCACAACATGCACGTTTGAATTTTGGAAAATTAAACCTTAACGCAGCGGAATCTATAGTTAGGGTTAGGACATTACCGTTTAAAATTTTTGCTGACTTAGAGACGTTTCTGATTTTCTTTGATGGAGATCGTTTGATAGCCAAAACCCGATGGGCTGACGGGTTTGACCTTTCTCGATTCTGATCGAGTCACTGAATCACAAACAGATCATCAGATCGGCCTTGTCCGGCTCGGGCCGGTTGAATTAGGTTCGGTTCACTGGGTTGACTCGGTCGGAACTCGGACGGGTCACGTCTCGGATCTGGTCGGGGCTGGTCCCCAACAGATGCTGACAGGTGGCTCGGGTCGCGTCTGGCGCTGGTCAGGACGCACAGGTGCTGGTGCAGACGCGGACAGGCACTGATGGCTCGGGCGCGTGCCGGAGCAGCACTCCTATGCCTTGGCGGACTGGGCTCGTGCACGTCTGGGAACACGCGGTCGTGCAACACTGGTCTCCTGGTCGCGCAAGGATTGCCGGGCGCATGCAATCTCTCGCGCTGGGTGCGAGACACGAAGATCGTGGGTCGGTGATGGTGCACGGGACGGGGACGACGTGCACGGCGGGTCGTCGCTGGGAGCATGCGCGGCGACTGTCGATGCGCGGCTGCTGGCACTGGCTCGCGACCGCGCTCGTAGGTTGCTGGTGGCTTCCGGCGACTTCGTTCGGCGGCGGTGACTGACTAGAAAATTAGAGGATCTAAGGATTGATTTATCTAACTTTAAGATCTTCTAATGTATGATCCAAACCAGTGTTTTAAATACCGTACCGGTGGTCATACCGGTCTAGCCACTGGTACGCGGTATTACCGGTAGGACCGATAATATCGGTGGTATTACCGGACTAGCAAATATAGTGATATATATAAATATACAATAAAATATATAATACCAAATTCAAAAAAGTAAAAGAAAATAAATGACCATAATAATTAATTTCAACTTCTCAATGAGATAAAAATAAAACATTTTAAACCAATTTAAATTTCATATATTTTTTTTTTATTATTGGCCGGTATTTTTAACCGGTATTTTCTGGTATTTACGGTATGATCCCAGTACAAACCGGTATAATCGTAAATCCAGTATTTTGTGTGCAATTGTACCATACCAATGGCCGATATCCAGTATTACCGGTATTACCGGCCGGTACGGTACGGTATTTAAAACATGGATCCAAACATCTACTCCAAAAAAACTTGGTGGCGATTTTTCGGATCTCTCGAACTCTCAATATCTAGAACACACAACACTCCTTCTTCCCTTAGGAATCCTTAGTCTTAGGCGTGTGGAATAGAGTGAGGGGAGAGTTCAAGACATGGTGTATTTATAGACTACATTAGGGACCCTATGGAGGTGCTAAATATGGGCTTATCCCATTAGGTTAAGGAATCCTAATTCAATTCCATATACTTTTCCAATCAATGATAGAATTCCTCCTACTACTTATTACCTTCTAGAAGACTCTTTAGTCTCCTAACCGTAGGTAATATTCTAGAATGAATATTCCTCTCCTAATGGAATATTAATTATGGAATAAAAATAATTTCTTAATCTAAATCGAATTAAATAATAAAACATTTCCACTAGAGTAATATTATTGCTCTCCCCATTTAGCTCCAATTTATTCAATAAATCAAGCCTCCAAATTATTAATTAATATTTATCTAATTGACCGATTTATCTTTCCATGTTTAAGATATAACATCCGTCAATTAATTTAATTACTGACAATTAAATTAAATTGACTTCTTCATTTCAGAAATTAGTACCACTCAGTTCATTAATCATTATGCCGGATAATTATCCACCTGCAGGGTTTGACATAGTATTTCTTCCTGAGCTCATTTCGGAGACGTCATCAACCCAGCGCACTGGGACACAACGACTGCAAATAATTTATAATGGCACATCATATAAACACTTTTACTTACCAAAATAGCGAGTATGTCATCCTAACGAATAGGAATCACCCTTGCTAAATCAAATAAATAAGTAATGAATATATGTTCATTTTATATTATCCTACAACTTAAGAGAATGCATCAATCACTGAAGGTGTAGATTATAATAACAATCAGTAAATCTTATAATCTTATCCTTCCGTGGTCCGTTCAATACTTATCATAAGTACTAGTGTAATCCTTCAATTAAAGATCAACTGAATCAAGACTACACTACAGTTTATTTTAGAACAATAAATTTATATTTTAGAAGGAACCAATAATATGATCTTTCTGTTCGACACGACGAACCATATTATATACAATGTAAAATAATGGAGTTATGATTACATAAATAAATAAAACAACAAACCTAAATACTTTGACTAAAACACGATTGACAGATCAAAATGGTATTGTTTATATCTGAAAGCTAAGCTTTTACAGCATATCTAACAATTTTTCCTTTTTCCCGAGCTGTTTGACTTATTTTCGACCCGTTGACCTCGTTTTCCGTGATGAGTCTATTTCGATATTTTTAAATGATTTTTCCAATTCATTCTTTGAAATCTAAGAGTTCCAGATTCCACAAAACTCCACGAGATATTTAGTCGACAATGGTTCGACTAAGTATGATTTTTCGCGATATTTTCTAAGTTATCTAGATTATATATTTATGAGATAAATCTTGATTAAATGTAGGTGTTTGAGGAGTTGATATTTACAATGCCATAATTCATTATAAGCGCTAGATTTTCTGATCAATGTATGTATGTGAACCACGACCCTATCGTTGGATGCGGGTTCGACCATCGTAATGGTATCCCCGTCGGCAGATGCGAATTCGACTGTCGACGGTGCCTAGTGAGAGGCAATCTCCGTTATAGCCTAATGAGAGGCCATGTCTTTGGATGCGGTTTTGACTATTGACATGTGCTCCCGTTGTTGGATGTGGATTCGACCTTCAGCGGTTATATAGGTGTACACTTGAGCATATTGAGATGTGATATTTGTTGTTGATTCATGTTCATGCTGTGACCCTACTATCTGTTATTATATTGAATTGATGTGCATAGTGGTGAGCTAGTGGTTTGCTCACCACCATAATCCCTCCTTTCAGGTTGAGCAAGTGGCATGGCGAGACAAAAAAGTGGTGGATGGTCATTTTACTGGCTTATTGTTTATGTTTATGTTTGAATTGCTTCTGCTATGACTCATGTATTATTTTTCAAAACTTAGGATGAACATTTTGGTACATGATTTGACTGGTTAGATTGTTATGATTATTGGATTATGAATTGTGGATTATGATTATGATATTGAGTTGATTTGATATCGCATGTGATATATGAGTTTGGACAATGAGTTCCTATGTGATTATTTGGGCAATGAGTTCCCGTGACTCAGATATAACTTGAGATAATTGTGATAATGTTTGAGTAACGCCATTCAACGTTTGATTTCGAGAAATGAATTTCGAAAAATAAATCTTGATTTTTGGAAAAGGTCCAAAATTTTCTTTAAAAATCATTGGGGCGTTATAGTGTGGTATCAGAGCATGTCTATGTTTCTGTAGACTGCTTTATGAATGTGTATGAAATAGTAAAATGATCACTCGTCTTCGTCATGTTGCGTCAACTCAAGATATGTATTTATGAGGTGATATTGTTTATTACTTATGTTATTTGGGGCTTAGGAATTTATCCTCCTTATTTAATGATTGAATTCTAGTTTGAATTATGTTGTGCTAAACCTTCGAGTTACCCTTTTAATATAGAAATGCCGCCGCGTAGAACAAACGCACCTGAGCGGCCTGCTCATCAGGCTCCGCCCCCACCGGATTATGATGACCATACTCGGAAGGTTACTCAGTTCCGGAACATGCAGCCTCCAGCCTTCATCGGAGTGGAGGGACCGACAACTGTAGCGCAGTGGATCAGCAAATTGGAGAATATTTTTTACTTGCTTTTGCAACGATGCCCAGCGGACTTGCTCTTCTGAAGGAGATTGTGCTTGAGAAATATTTCCCGCAGAATTATCGGGCCAGAATAGAGCTGGATTTTTGGGACCTTCGCCAAGGGACTAGAACCGTTGAGAATTACGAGCGAGACTTAGCTCGTATGAGTGCTTTTGCTTTTCATCTAGTGGACACTGAGCAGAAGAAGGCCACTAGATTCCGAGATGGGCTTTGCCCGGATATCTGCTTACTGTTGACTAGCCACGGGGATCTGCCATACGATAAGATGGTGATACGTGCCCAGCAGCTGGAGAGTTGCCAATCTCTTCACACACCCGTGCCATCGTACCAACATGCCCAAATGGTTCAACCAGTTACTGTTGTTTAGTCTGGTTCTCATTCGGGCAAGAAGAAGGCCGATCACCGTCGGGATCACAAAGGGAAGCGCGGAGGTTCTAGTAGGCGTCAAACCGCCCTGTAGCTCAGTTTCAGGCACTGATGTGTGCAACCTGCGGCATGAGTCACGACGGAGAGTGCCTAGCAGCGCAAAAGACATGTTTAAACTGCCATCGTCCAGGCCACTTTGCTAATGTATGCCCCAAGCCGAGGAGGCCGCACCAGGGACCACTCCCACAACCACATCAATAGATTCAGCAGCTCCGACAGCCACAACAGTCGAAACAACAACGAACTGGAGGACAAGCCCGTGTGTACGCTCTGACCCATGAAGAGGCCGCGACAAATGCAGGTACTATGTCCAGCATGCTTTCCATATCAAATGTACCCATTTTTTGCATTGTGTGATATCGGGGCCACGCACTCTTTCGTGTCTTCTCGATGTTTGGAGGTGTTGGGTATCTGGGGTGTTAGCACGGTCGATGCACTCGAGGTTAGCCTTGCCTCGGGAAAGACGATCGTTACTAATACTATAGTAAGAGGTTTGCGAGTTAGTATCGACGGGAGGAGTTTGGAGGCCGACACGTATATCATTGACATGCGGGACTTTGACAACATCTTAGGTATGGACTGGCTGACCCGCTACCGCGCAGACATCAGATGCTTGGAGAAGGAAATGACCCTACATCCGGCCGACGGAGGACCTATCATATTTTATGGAGCGAAGTCGAGGACTGTACCTCGAGTTATCACGTCTCTAAGGCGATGCGGAGTTTGTCGAAGGATAGCTGTCAGGGCTACTTAATGAGTATTGTGGGCGAGGAGTCGAAGAACTCTCCGGAGAGTGTGTCTATAGTATGCGAGTACTTGGATGTATTTCCGGAAACTGCCTGAGGGACCGTCGGACAGACAGGTCGAGTTCACCATCAACTTAGTGCCCGGAGTCGGTCCAGTTTCTAAGGCACCTTACTGTATGGCGCCGAAGAAGCTGCAAGAGCTCAAATCCCAGATCTAGGAACTGCTTAACCTTGGTTTCATCTGACCGAGTGTTTTTCCATGGGGAGCGCCAGTGTTGTTTGTGAAGAAGAAGGATCGGTCGATGCGGATGTGCATTGACTACCGAGAGTTGAACAATCTGATCGTGAAGGACAAATACCCACTTCCCCGCATAGAGGACCTATTCGACCAGCTGAGGGGAGCCAGCGTGTTCTCTAAGATCGATCTGAGATCTGGCTACCATCAGTTGAAGATTAGAGAGTCTGACATCTCTAAGACCGTGTTCTGCTAGGTATGGGCACTACAAGTTCGTGGTGATGACGTTCGGGTTGAGCAATGCACCGACAGTATTTAAGGACCTTATGAACCGGGTCTTTCATCCGTACACTAGACAAAACATTTAATATCATAAGCTGTAAATTAAACCATCAAGACTGTAGTTCTAACTTTTAATATATATATATATATAGAAAATGAGATTTACGAAATATATTAGTTAAACAATCCAAAATAACTAAGGAATACATTCTTCGGAAAACTTTTTAAATATACGCATTAGTTGTTTGCAGTTACACATTTTCAAATCACATCAAACAGGATATGATCAAAAATATTCTTTCACTGAATAATTTTATTGACATATGCAATAATTTCATTGATATATTATAATAAACTACAAACTATTTTTTTACGATTCATGTTCATAATATTTTGGTCAAGATAAACATGAATTTTTTTTTTTAAATTTTAACCATATTATAATTTTTATTTTATAAAATATTGACTTTAATCTTAAAATATTTATAGAAAATCGTAATACGTTAGGTAATTTTTTTCTTCCAATTATCAGACAAAATCAAGTTGGTGAATTAATCTTTGCCAATATAATTTTTCTTAAGATATTTAATTATATAAAAAATAAATATTTTTTAATTAATATAATTTCCCATTTAAGAGATAATGACCAAATACATTAAATGGTTTTAAAAATGATCAGATAATAAAATTAAAATATACTAACTCTTCTTTAGAATTTCAACGTGTGATTTATTTATATATTATTATATACCATGATTAATTTTTTTTTTTTTTATCATCTTTCTATTTTAATTTCTTTCCGTGATAGATTATTGTAAAATATATTCTCATTGCATAGTATGCTAAATAAACTATAAAACCTTAAGATACAAATTAGAAAAATCTCTTAATTATAGAAGGAATTTATTTTTTGGTAATTTTCGAATCAAAGTTGTTTAATTATTATAAAAACAAAATCATATGCATAACTGCAAAAAAAACTTTATGATGGCTGTAGATTAATTGGTTAATTAATATTATAAACCTATAATATGTTATTTTTCTCAATGAGACTGGATTATTTTCATTCTTTATTTATAAATTAGTAGTTATTGATGACATGTTATACATATGAGACTTTTTTTTCTTATTATTATGAGATACGATGAATATAAAAAATATATAGAATCATATGTGTGTATATTTTGTAAAATATTAACGCACAACTTTTAATGTTACATTTATTTATATAATTTTAAATTATATATTAATAAATAATATTAACATACATTAAATATTTTTCATTATATAAAATAAAAAGAAGACTACTTCAATAACTTTTATAAATAATAATAATGACATTATACCACAACAAATTTTTGAATAAATTAATAGCTAAGTATTACACAATGAAAAATAAAATTATTATTTTTCTTATATCAAGAAATAATAATGTAAACCCTATCAGGGGAATCAGACAAGGGGACCCACTGTCCCCTTATCTGTTCATAATTGTTGCAGAATTACTCACTGCCCTCATTCTTCAATCTGTGGAAAGAGGTCATCTGAAAGGGCTTAAACTCTCCAGGAACGGTCCATTGCTCACTCATCTGTTATTTGCAGATAACTCCCTATTCTTTTGCTGAGTAGAGGTGGATCAGGCTGCTGTTATAATGGTCATTCTTGATAAATACAGGCTCTTCACAGGACATGCAGTAAATTTGCAGAAATCTGCTATTTTCTTTAGTAGAAACACTCCACAACATCTCCAGCAATCCATCTGTGCAGCTCTCAATGACATAGTCTCCCACAGATCTACCAGATATTTGGGATTACCTCTTGGAATTGGTAAAGTAAAAAAATAAGAATTTGCATATCTCCTAACTTCTGTCAAAAGCAAGCTGCAAAATTGGAAGGCAAAGCTCCTCAGCCATGCTGGCAAGGAAGTCCTTATCAAAGCCATCATTCAAGCATTGCCAATCTTCACAATGTCATGCTTTAAGCTTCCTTTGACACTATGTTATGAGATTTCTCAACTTTGTGCAAACTTTTGGTGACAATCAGGAGACTAGCAGTCCAGAGGAATCCATTGGAAAAAAATGGTGCCTACTTTATTTACCAAAAAAAGATGGAGGGCTCGGTTTCCTTGACCTACAACTTTTTAATCAAGCACTAATTTGCAAGCAGTTATGGAGAATAGCTTCTCATCCTGAACTTTTGGTCAGCAGACTTCTAAAACACAGATACTTTCCTGACACAGTAATAACTCATGCAACCAAATCAGCTAACGGATCTTGGATGTGGAATTGCTGGATAGAGGTGATGCCCTTTTTCTCTAAGTGGCTGAAAATAAAGATCAGGAATGGAGTTGCTACAAAGATAGCTGATTTGAATTGGATTCCAACCCTTCAGAAACCATCACCAACACTTATGCCTTTATCTAGAGAACATCTTATATGGGTAAAAGATCTTTTGAATGCCAATGGTCTCTCATGGAATGAATGGTTAGTGCAGCAGGCATTTGACCCTGAAGACAGTGCAGCCATTCTCAGCATTACCTCACTTCACCCAGACAGAGCAGACAGACTATATTGGGGATTGGAAAAGAAAGGTCAGTTTACTGTCTCTAGTACTTATTAATTGATATCCTCAATAAAGCTGTCTCGGTTGGATATTCCAGAGTCTAGCTCTAGCTCATCCATTAGCAAGTCTGTACAAACTAGACATTGGAAGTTGAAAATTGTTGGGAAACTGAAGCACTTCCTTTCTGTTGCAAACCTCCTGAAGAAAAGAAAAGTAGACATTGATCATATTTGTTCAATATGTGGTGAAGCTTCAGAAACAATTGACCATGTTCTTCTGTCATGCCCTAGAGCTTGCAAAGTTTGGGATATCTAACCTGTGACCTAGAATAGCTTTCAAGGAAGCACTGAATCTTTTAAACACTGGTGGTACAACATTTGTTCACTTGATCATTCTGAAGTTGCCAAAGCAAGGATACAACTTTCAACATATATCCTTTGGAAGGAACCGGTGGGTGTTTCAAAACTCTCTCATGCCAGAAGCAAAAGGGATAAAAATGGCTCTCTCAGACTGGACTCAATATGCAACAGCTTCATGATTTAGTTTCAGTTTTTAATTGTTCGTATTGTATTTTCTATCTGAGATCAATTTCCTTGCTAGGCCTTTGGCAGTAGAAGGTAGTTGATTTCTTAGGATTAATATTTTCTTCAATTCTGTTGTTCTCAGTTCCTCATGTTGAGGCTCTAGACCACTTTAGGGTGTGTCTCCCATTTTTTCTTTGCGAATTATTTATGTATTNAAATATGTATACCAAAATTAAATTTATATTATTATAACATGTTAGCAGATAACATATTTTAACTTACAAACTAGCCCTAACAAACTCATTTTAATGTATTGACTAAAAAACAACAATAATTAAAAGAGGTAAAAAACTAGATAGTCCAACCTATTATTTTCAACTTAATTGAAAAAGCAATATGAGAATAACTCATTTAGCATCTTTATGTCGTACATCACAGACTACGTGCTAGTAAGAATTGTAAGCTGTAAATCCAACAATCATGACTGTCAGTTGTTCTAATCAGAATCTTTGTGTAAGTTCACAAAGGAAACTGTATTTGCTTCGTGACTAACAAACTCCACTCTAACTTCGTAACATACCTGCGTACACCAACTAAGGTAGAGCCACAAAATCCCAAATCTGTCACCTAACTGATTAGCAAACTATTTGCTTCTTTAAGTGCATTAATCACACAAAATCCCGAAATCTTAGCCCGGTTGTCGTCATTGGCCCATCAATTGCGACTTAATGTTTCTTTCAATTCCCAGAACATTATGGTACACGAGAGAACCGTCAAGGTCTAATGTAGTCACAAAATAAGAAAACCCTGATAAACTTTCCTAATCATATTTTTCCAATAAATATCCACCCACAAGGTTCATATTTTTCCAATAAATACCCACCCATAGAGGGTGCAACAAGTAAAAAATGGGAACAAATACCAAGTGGGGACATGTATAATTTCCAGAGATAAGCGGCCTTTTTTTGCAATTAACCAAACTCTGGATGCATGTTTCATAATTTTCCCGACTATCAAGAAATTAGTATCCTCTGAATAACCAGCTCATGAGCCCTCATTGAAACTCAGGGACCGCGACAAACCTGCAGGATTGGCCTGTAAAACCGTCGAGCTTTTGGCATGAGCCCAATTCTTTTGATAATTGTCCTTAGATTTCCTCTGCAAAGCCTTGAAAAGACCATCACCACGACTTACGCCCACATCACCACAATCATCATCATCTCTGTTTCTATTAATACCTAAAGTCGACAATATGGAGCTTCTGGAAGCTTCTTCCGGATCATCGATTCTCAAAGTCTTCGGAACCCACAAACATTTCTCTGGATCACTCTCCTTTACTTTCTCTTCTTCATTTTCTGTATCGGATGGAATATTCTCGTCCCTCGAGTGCTTCCCGAGTGTTGGAGAAACGGGGCTGGAATTTGGAGCTTGTGTGGGTGAGATAACGTAGGGGACGTTCCATAAAGAGGCCCCAGGCCAATAAGGCTGTGGTGTGGAGTAGAATTGCATGGGAAAGCTGGCTGGGCCAAAATTAGGCGGAGCCATTGGTGGGCTCCACTGAACAGAGTGCCATGGGTAAGGCCAAGCGACCCCATGAAAAACAGGTACCTGTAGAAGTTATTTGCAATAGGATCAATAAAATAATATTAATAATAATTTTTAAGATATGCGTGCATAAATTTGAATTGCCTAAAACTCAGTTATTAACTTTATAAACAAAATAAACATGAAAGGGAACAAATATGTAATCAAGTCTTGCTATTTCTTCATCAAAATATTTTAAAAGAAACTAAAATCTAAGTGGGGCCATAATTTGGTATTTTGTCAATTAGTTTTTAACCCACCTCATCCTTCGAACTCGAAATGGGATGTTCACTCGAGCGTTCATAACCGTTATTCTCCTTTCTCCTGATCGTTTTATCCCCAATATCCAAAACCGACACCATCGATGATTCACACAGAGGCAGAGGAGTATCCGAACCAAAGGCAAGGAAACTTGTCCCGTTGGGATTCTGGCGGGCTGATTCGGGATTAGGTGTATGATGAAATTGAGAGGCAGTTTGGTTCTTGTTCTTACGGCGCCCAGCTCCCACACGAACATTTCTCATGGCCCCGCCAGCTGTCCAGTACCTCTGGCAGTTCTTGCAGAAGTGTCTCGGCTGGTTGATGTTGTAGTTGTTAAAATAACAGAATTTTGTGTCTGTGCTGTTGCAACGGGGGCACGGGAGTATTTTGTCAGGCTTCTTTAGAGTTTTTTCATTGGAGCTGTTTGGCTCTGACGGTTCCTCTCTTGAATTGTTGGCTGCATGTATAGGAGCATTAGTGTCATTTGACTCGTTTGAGGTTGACGGATGGCCTTGGTTTTCCATGTTTGGGTTGCCATGTCCTGAGCTTGGTTGCCTCTGCAGGATAATTTTACTCGTGAGAATCGCCAAAAAGATAACAAAATATGATCAAGGAGAGAAGTTGAAAACTTGTAGTATAACTGGAAATAATGTAGATAATACTTATTGTGACCGCAATTTCAAAATTAAAATGGTCAGGTAAATATAGTTTGAGGATTATATACAAAATCTACTGCTGCAGTTTAGCCTAATTACACACATACACACACTAAAAGAAAATGAAAAAAGGAAAGAAAGAATGAAAGGAAGATAGGAACAACGCTGTCTTCTTTTTGAAATCTATTATCTTTTTATTATTGAACAAATTGTACTCATAAAGATCGAAAGCAGGATAATTTGACAATTAATCAAATTATTAAGGGTTAAAAATGTTGTTGAAGCAGCTTTATTTTTGCATTTTGTGTGTTTTCTATAAGATTAAAAGTTGACCGGTATTGTTACAAACCTACAAGAGAGATGAGATGAAAAGCAATGAAAATTATATGATACATAAATGAGAAATTCTGGGCTTTTCTCACTATAAACTAGAAGTCCCCGTCAAACAATATTAATTAAAGAAATACAAATTACTCACATAAACTGAATCTTTGATTTTTTTGTACAAGATTTAATCGAAGGAAAAAAGGTCAATACATTTCTTTTTCAACAATGATCACAAAGACAATCTTCATATCTCTTCACACAAATAAATCCTATAAACAAGTGTACGGCACAATAATCCATCATTATGCTTGATGAATTGTTTTTTTGCAGAAGAAACCGAAGCATATTAGCAAATGGAACGAAAATCTATTGGCATGGAAAAAGAAAGACCTACCAAATAACAAATCAAAATTCAAAACTCATCAAGCATACATGGAACAGTCATTTGCTCCATCCTGGAAAATGAAAAGCAGTGCAAAATGCCGTTCAAATCAGTACAATGCTCGGAGCACTGTATACATAGATTAATCCTTTGTAAGAAACAAAAACACAACCATAATTCCTGAATCGAAAACACTAAAAAAATCAAATCCCAATAGTTGTAAGAAAACATATCATCCATTTCAATCCCAACCAAAACATAGAACCCTAAATTAAACGGAAACGGGCAGTATCCCCCAAAGTGTGATAATTTCTAAAATGAAATCCCTAAATCTCAAACCATTGCACAACCGAATCTCATACCTCTTGCGATTCGTGGTCCTCTGCATCTACAATTAAATCACTATGTTCAAGCACAGAACAAGCAAGCTTTTGGTCTACGCTGGTAACGCTGTCTTCTGTATCGGCATCACAAGAATCAGCAGCTGGTTCACGAATTCCGGCCGCCTCAACAGACTCCTCCGGCAGCCCAATGGTTTTACCAAAAAGCTTTATTTTGGGGTCTTTCAATTCTGACATTTTTGCCTTTCTTTTTTCCCACCACGCTCTCTCCCTACATAAGGTATATAAATTTTCAAGATGACATACAATAAAAATAAACAACCAAGACCAGAAAACAGCAAATAAAAAGGCTCTCAACTGAGTTGGACTAAATTGGATTAAATTAGGAAGGTATATGTGTAAGCAGCCATCACCAATTAAATTTGATTAAAATTGAATTCAGATTTAANTTCACCGATAGTACTTTTTTTTTTGTCAAAACGATAGAGATTTTATACAAAATCGCACAAATGTGCAAAAATAACAGTCCTCAGTTGAATACAACCAGCCAACAACGGCATAAAAATGGGAGGACATGTCTTTTGACCGCCTAGAGCCCGACCCCAACAGGGTAATAATCGGGAACACACATAAAAAACACAAGAACACTACAAACGGTCCCAACAGGGTAATGGCCGAGTATACGGTCCCAAAAGGATAATAAAGTCACACTCGGGCTAACTGAGGCCAATATCCCAGACCTAAAACACAATAACGAACACGACACATGCAGACACAGACGACACAAAACATAAACTACAGAAACTAAAAACACAGAGAGCCCTTCCCCAGCAAACGAATGACACTACCGAAACTGCACGAACGCCTATACAGTAGCTAAAACCGAACCTTGAACCAATCCCCGAGTCAACCCGTCATCAACCGAGAGAAGAACAACAAGAGAACCAGCTCCCCCACTGCCTAACACCACTAGCCGAACAGGGGAGGGTAGGGGTGGAACGGTCCCTCAACCGGAGTCCCGCCCGGTGGAATGGTCCCTCAACCCCGACCGCCGCAACAGGAACCACCGCAGCAACCGGAGTCCCGCCCGCCCTTTGACCCATATAGCAACCAACATCACCGCCACAAACATCTGACCAAAAGACGAACATCCCCCTCGAAGCCCTACCGGAAAAGCACAGCCACCCGGAGGAAGCCCTACAATCGCGTACAAAATCAGAAATTAGGGGAAACCATCTCCAATCGAGACCCGCCGGCAATCACCACCACCAATCGCCGACCAGGAAGATCTCCCCCCATAATCTCGAGCATAAGTGCGACCTAGGGTTGGGGCAATCCATCTCGCGCAGAGCTACCACGGAAAAATCAGAAGGATGCGACATCAAAGGGTAGGCCGAGCGGTCGAGAACGACCACTGGTTGGAGGTCCACCGTCACCGAGGAAGGCGATGCAACAGAAATTGAAAGGCTACTGTCGGAGGGTTTTTTTCGCGAGCAGAAAAGAAGAGCTTTTTTTCTAAAGTTCTATCTTTTTCTAATTCATATTTAAACTGAGTTACTAAAATTGATCAAAATTGGATGATAGTTAAAGTGAGTTATTCTAAATAAAATGGATTGAATCATAACTAACTAAAATCAATCTGATATAGGATATTATACTAGACCGGTTTTAATGGATAAAAAAGAAATATATTAGAGAATAAAGGAATATGTTGGAGAATAAACCTACACATGCGCTAGGACACGTGGCATGATTGCATTGGACAAGCCCAACTTGAGCCATAAGGTACACTCTCCCTATAGGTATCTCATTCTCTCACTCTCTCTACATTCATTACATACACTTGGGATTTGGAGTTTTGGAGTGATATTGACTTGAGCGTCAGAGGCCCGACGCCGGGACCCCTCCCGGCTTTGGGTTCTTGCAGGTATGGAGGCCGTCCGAGTAGAAGGAGCCCGGGTGAAAATAATATTCACTTCATTGGCCTCGTCTGTGGGACCCCGTTCGAAAAGCCAAACGGAGTTCCAATCGAAAAATTACAAAAATCCTCCTTCGACTTAGCTGGCCAAAGTGCTCGGATCATAAAAATGTTTACGTCAACGGGTAGATCTCGTCGAAGTGAATCTCCTCTTAAAATCTCATTCGAAAATTCATCCGGAAAGGCCTTTGATTTGGCCGGTCAAACTTTTCGGATCTAAGAAATTTTGGTCAACATTCGACCTTCAAATGCATTTTTTCGGTTATCCATGAGGGCTGTGGAAAATCCGGGAGCACCATTGGAATCCTCTCGTCGAGACGAGTCTTCAGCATATGACCTCCGTCGGCGTCGCCGTTGGCTGCCGCCACCTCCGGGCCGGCGCCGCGAAGAATCCTCTGATCCGAAAAATCTTTACATAATCACGAAGCTCTTCTTGTGCTCGTTCTACCCTTAAAACATCAAGCGAAAATTCCAAGCGGAAGGCCGTCAATTTTGTCGGTCAGTATTTTTGGATCTAAGAAATTTTTGGTCAACACCGGTCATCTTCTCCGTTTTTCGGTCGATTTCTGTCGAGCCGACGGCACTATCGGGACCGCCTCACCGGGGCGATCGTACGACCGGTCGCATTCGCCGGAGACGGCGACATTTTCTGGCAACATTTTTCCAACTATTTCTGCTGGAGTAAAAGCGTGGATCGAGCAGATCGGTGAGCAGCTCGATGCAGTCCATGCCCCAGCACATTGGGCCCGATGTGCGCGATCCAGGAGCCCAGGTGAGGAAGCCCGCCAGTGTGCGCGGCCCAACGAGAAAGGCCCGAGGAGATGGCCCAACGCGGAAGGCCCAATAGAAGGCCTCACACAACAGCTTCAGCGCGCGGGCCACGACCAGCTCGCATCTCCCTCAACTCTCGGCCCGTGAGAGCCCGACATCAGCCCCCGCCAGGCCCGCGAGCAGCCCACCTCCCTAGCTACCTTCAGTCCAGCCCAACAATGTGTAGTCCGCGGCCCATTTGGTGTCAGCCGCGGCCCAGCGCCTTGTATGTGGCCCATTTGATGTCCAAACCCCTCCAGCGCGGCCCAGTGAAGCAAAACAGCCCCATTTTGTGCCTAAGACTAATTCGGGATGGTTCGAGGCGGACGAGAAGGTAATCTGAGATAGAATTCTCGTGGTGAAGTTATGTGGTTCCTTTAAATAATGAGCTCAAGGGATTTTTTAAATTGGTGAAGAATTGGAGACTATGTGATATATTCGTGGTGAATATTTGATATATTCGTGGAGATTATTTGATATATTCGTGGAGAATATTTGATTTATTTGAGTTATCCGTGGAGATATTATTAGATTTGTTCGAGAGATATTATTTGGTTTATTCGTGGAGATATTTGATTTGTTCGTGGAATTATTTGGTGTATTTGCAGAGAAATTATATGTGTCATTTGTTACACTTGGAGAGGCAAGTAATATTTTGAATAACACTAATTAAGCAAGGTTGTTTGAAAATAAATGCGGGTCATGATTTCGAGTTGAGGATATTTCGTGATAATGCTTGACGTGTATTTGGTGCATTTATCAATTTTTATTGGTGGGCTCGAGGAGATGGATTAACATTATATGATTTGATATCTTGATATATTCGGAGCCTTTCATTTGGATTTTAATGTGGAAGGAATTTTGCTTGAATTGTCTACTCATAATTTTTTAAGCATGTCATTGCTCGAGCATGTCTTAAATCGAGGAGATGGCAGTATTTGTATTTGATCTCTTGTTTTTCTTGCGTGGAGCATTGCAAAATGGATGATGTGAATATAATGTGGATAATGATATCTCTTTGAATTCTTATTGAGGATACAACGAAATAACATGAGTCTGGACAAGTTATGGCGGACGAGTTGGGGAATTTCGAGGACAAAGTGAACGAGCATGAATCCATCAAAGCAGGGTGATAATGAGGGAAGAGTCTGAATGGTGCCAATCGCCGGTGGCAATTTCAAAGGCAGAAATCATTCTCTTTTGGAGAGGTAGGATATTGGTCTTATCGACCTTCAGGTATAAAATTAATCCCAACTCTTGTGAGCGGTCAAGTTCGACCGACGCAATTTATTGAAACATTGAGTCTCTTAGCATGCTTTTTTGGAGAAATGTTCATTGTTTTGGATATTCTGGGAGAAATGTTGCTAGGGTTGTGGTGTATATGGATATGTTTAGAATTATTATTCAGGTGACTAACAAAATGCAGAAAATGAGGTGTTTGTGGAGGCTTGAACAAAAACCTGGCATGACTAAGGCCTTCGGGCTGGCCAGTTTTGAGTCATCATGATTGAGGAGCTCGGTATTGGGAGTAATTCATTCGAATTTTCATTTGGTGCATTCATTTAATGGTCATTTATAGCTGTAGAGTATGATTTATCGTAATGATTTGTTGAACAATTTATGGTTTTGGGAAATTCTGGTCGACTATGCCTTTGAATGGGTGTTTATGTGATTTCATATCTTGGTAAAGAGACTTTCCTGTAGATTGAAGTGTGGTTAAAAGCATGTGGACCAATTCGATTGCTTTGATTTATTAATCTCTTGTTATTATTGCTATCGGGATTGCAAATTGGATAATGCGGATAAAAACGGCTAATGGGATTTGTTGAATTCTTGCTGAGGAAAATACATGAACAGGTGTACTGGATATTGGTGGTGAGAAGTGGAAAGCATGGAGCAAACAAACAACTCAAGTCGTCGCGTACAGATAGGAAAGGGAGGTCGAAAAATATGCTTGATTTTTTTTGTCTTGTTCGATATAACTATGCATTTGATGGGACTAACGAAAATGATCAATTACTATTCTGTCTCGTGGTGGTTGGTGTGTTTTCTTGTCAACCTCAGGGACAAGTTGAAGTGTTCGAGCAATTCGAAAGAAAAAATCCACCATGACTAAGGCCTCCGGGCTGGGTGGTCACTTGTTTTGAACATCCTTTCAGGGTGGGCAAGTGGTCGGAGAAAAAAATCCACCATGACTAAGGCCTCTAGGTCGGGTGGTCGCTTGTTTTGAACATCCCTTTCGGGGTGGGTAAGTGGTCGAAGAAAAAAAATCCACCATGACTAAGGCCTCCGGACTGGGTGGTCGCTTGTTTTGAACATCCCTTTCGGGGTGGACAAGTGGTCGAAGAAAAAAAATCCACCATGACTAAGACTTCCAGGCTGGGTGGTCGCATGTATCGACCACTTCTTCGAATGTGGGCATGTGTTCAAGGGTGTAAAATCCATCATGATTAAGGCCGTGAGGCTGGATGGTCGCATGTATCGACCACCTCTTCGAATGTGGGCATGTGTTCAAGGGAGTAAAATCCACCATGACTAAGGCCTCCAGGCTGGGTGGTC